TCACTAGTAGCCAATAATGGTATCCCAAATTTCCAGGAACCAGTTCTATAAAGGCAGGTAATCTTTAGGAACCTATTCTGCTTATTTTCTTTTCAATCTGAGAATGGAAACAAATCACTTTATGGTATCAAAAAGAATTAAACCATTTAGATAATAAATAAAACATTTATTTATTAAGATTTTTCGAGATTGAAATTCTGTTCTCATCATATTTCTGTTTAGAAGTATGATGCTTTTTGACTCTAGTGTCATCAGCTGTGTTATAATTTCTTAGCCACATTCAAACTGAATTGCTGCAATCACAAAGACCTATCAAATTTATGACTAGAAGATTTGTCACATTTTTAACTTCAAGACAATTTCTTTTGTTGGAATAAATTATGTTCCTCACAGAAAACCCTCTTTCAACCTCTGCAGAACTTACAGCAATGGTATTAATTATATTTTTAGCTATTATATATAAGGTTATTTTTGGATAATCCAACAACTGGTTTGCTAAGCTTTTATAATTTTAATAATTGGTTCACACAAACTGGTAGGATGCCACCACTGCTAGTAGCCCATAATGTTGCAGGAAGTCAGCACCTAAAAGTGGGTTGACAGTGTCAGCTACCATTAGAGTACATCTATATAAGCGGTGAAGTCCTGAAAATTCTATGTCAATGGATACTTCTCAGTAGCACTAGATATCTTGTTCATTGACTGAGGCTAGACAGACTGGTGTTTGGTTTAGACAGAGTCCATTGGCATTTTTCCTGGGTTAGTATGGTCATTGAAGTACCTGTATCAATCAAGAACTTCAATGTTGTTGTTCTGACCCAAGTTGCAACTACAAAATCAATGAATCACTGGTGGCAATGGTAATCCACCCTAATAGTTTCCTGACCCAGACTCTTCATTTGACAATGAATCCTCTGGGTGGTGAGATATCAAACTAGAATTTGGTTGTATTTTACAGGCTGATTTATTTGGACACTTGGCACCATGGGTTGCATGTTCCACAGTATACTTGGGGTCTCTGGTTTTCATAAAATTGACAGACTGCAGTGTGTGTTTCAGTTTTCGGGTTTGCTGTCCATCCAGATTGCCCTTTATAATGTTCAGGGTATGTGGTATTTTGTACCATATCCATTTTCATAAATAGTATCACCTCATTGGCTAAGGTACCTAGTTCAGCCAACCTTAAGTTTCTAGCAGCAGCTATGACAGGTTTTATTGTAAGAGGCAGGGCTTGTGCGAAACTGTGTCTGACAAGGTCTTCTTCCACTCCTACTTTATTGGCTGTTGCCATTAACTCTCTCATGTCTTTTATTAATCTCTCAAAAAGCTCCAGTTTGTTTTTTTCATAGCTTTTAATGACAGCTTCTTTCAGGTCCTCATAATTTCTTTTGTTAAAATGGATGCCTGAATTTTCATTACCAGTTCTGGTTGTAGGGCTGAAAGCACATTATAAAATTTGGTTTTTATGTTCATTATTTTTTCATAAGCAAAACTGGGCCTCAATAATAGCAAACCAGGCAACAGCAGACATTTCTATAAGTGCTGGTATTTTGATATTGATCATTGTTGCTGTGTATATTTCAATCATTTTGTGGTGGGGTTAAAAAAAAAACTATGGAAAATGATATTTTTATTCAATTTGGGTTTGTACTTTAAATTCACTTCAGATTTTATCTGTATGTAGGACCAAACAAGAAAAACTTTCCCTATATTATTTGAATTGATGAAGGTATACAGAATAGCAATTTGTGAGGTTAACACCAACACAATCTTCCATTTCCTATTTATCTCTATTTAACTTTTAGCCATGCAAAGCTAAGTAAATATCAAGGAAGGCAGGATATCTACACTAATCTCATTTCTTTCCTACTTACCATAATGTATGAAGCAAATCTTAGTAAATATCAATATGTAGTCCAGGGCTAGTTATAGCAAAAATGCCTCCAATACTGGAAATATAGTTATTTTTTTCCTATTTTATTTTATCAGCATTATTGTTCTGTTTGTCTATGTGTAAGATCATTAGCTTTTCTACCTAAAACCAAATTGTGGTATGTGTGTGTGTGCGCCTGATCCTTGGACCTTTTGAGCTGAAATCAGTTACATTTTCTGACTGGGAAACATACATTAAATGATATGGGATTGGGTAATGTAAGAGAAATAGGGGAAGAATAATATATATGCATGGTACAGTAATGGATAGCAGCTTGGATTGAGGAATTGGAGGGATGAGTTCAAATTCCAGTCAAGTGTGTTAAATTCACTTATGTTCAAATATCATTGGGAAAAATATGAATCCATCTCTTCTCCCCACCAGTTTTGGGTAAATAGCAGGAAAAACTGGGTTCTATAGCCTTGGATGGTAACTGGTCTATGAGAAGGACAACTCTGAATTCAAAAATTGAGGTAGGTCATGTAGAACACTGTACACTAGTTCTCTGTATTCAGCTCATCCAAAAAGTGTGGTTTGTTCTACACAAGCCTTTAACACTATAACCAAATCATATGTGCAAGTAGTCCATCTGTTCAGTTCTGAGTTCATGGATGGGAGAGTCCTTATTTTTTTTTAATTGGGATCAAATGATCAAATACAGATCAAATATGGATTGACAGAATGATAGAATAAAGAACAAATAACAAATGTTTATAAATCTAACATGTTTTGCTTTTATTATTCTCTGATGAAGCTTTAATAAGAGTGAAACATGTTAGATTTATAAATGTTTCTGCTTTGTTCTTTATCCTAGCATATATATATATATATATATATATATATATATATATATATATATATATTTAATCATTTTACTCCAAGCAAAGCAATAAGTCCACACACACGCACACAGGGTGCGATGGATAAATTGGCGTCTAAATTACACAAATATGAAAATAACGCTGATATTTCCTTTTAACAGACATATTTACCAAAATGACACAAAAATATCTTGAAATACTAAAGAGTAAATTTATTCAATAAAATTGTCATTGGCTTCAACCACAGCATCCTGATGACTTCATAATCATCTGCAACTCTTCTGGATGGTTTCCTTGTTTAAGTTGGTGAATGCTGCCATAATCCTTACCTTCAGTTCATCTTTTATGTTACAAGGAGTTTTGTTGGTCTCTCGCTCAACTGCGCCCCACACACAATGATTGAGGCTGGGGTGCAGATCTGGTTAGTTAGGTGGCCAGATGTAAGGGGTGATGTGGCTGCAAAAATTGTCTGATAGCCATGATTGGGTTTTCCTGCTTGCATGGCATGGTGCAGAATCTAGTTGTCAGACATAGGGTCTTCCAGCAGACACCCATGGCAGCACCACTTCCTCAAGGCACTTGATGTAGGCCTCTATGTTGAGTCTGAGGCCCTGTGGGAAGATAAATGGAGGCATAACATCACCATCACTAGTGATCACTCTAAACACCATGACTGGATATATCATCCAACTTTTTCCAAATCTGCTGCACTGTCCTCAGATTGACACCCAAATACACTGAAATGCTTGTATTGGAGCTTCCAGCATGAATGCCAAGCAATACATCATGCTGTCTCCAAACTTCTTGCAGAGTGAATTGTGTCATGGTACTCTTTCTCTCACAGACAGTGCCCAACTGACCCTACTATACTTGTCCAGTCAACAAAATCAAAAACAAATAACATAATAATATAGAATTATTGATTTTAATCCTGAGAAAAAGACACTGTATTTTATTTTGTATTTTTGTGTGATTACAATTTACACTTTTATAATTAGTTTTATAGAAACTAGTTGGACTCATAGAAATCCCATGTGTGTTGATTTCTAAAATGATCTCTTTGCTTGTATCTTCTTATCACCCTAATTCCTTTTTTTGTTGCTCATCTATAATTTTATCTCAATGTTATACAAACATAGATTAGTTTCACATGTGAAAAATCAAAACAATGTACAAATATTTTCACCTGTGCCCTTTCTTTATCAAACTTAGTATAAAAATAATGAAAAATGAGAAAAATGACAGTCAATTGCTGAAACCTCCTGATGAGTAGACTGAACAATTAAAAAAAGGTTCATCTATGAAACTTTGGAATTGAGGTTAAGAATATTACATCAATCAGCTAAGTGACTAATTTTGTATTTGTATTAATCCTATCTACCTTTCTATAAAGAATTTTAATGTATGACATTTCTTATTTTTTTCATTTTTACCTGCCTTTCAGTTTTTCACTTATTGTTTCTTACTATGCAGCCAGCAAGCCTATCTCTGTTTTTCTTTCATCTCCATTCCTTTCTAGTTGATGGAAGTTTTAGTTTGTAACCAGAGCTCCAATGAAATCTAATCTATCTTAAGAAGCAATCAACCAGCCACTGTTGGAAAAATAGTTTCATTTTTCAGCTTCACATTTAAATTTCAATCAGAATTAGATTTATGGTTATGATTACTCATGTATTGCTACTTTTGTTTGATTTCCATCAAGAACTTCTGTTGTGATATGAAGTTTATAATACATCAAGTTTTCAAATAGGGAATGCATGCCTACAGCATTAAAAATCCTTGCTTTTATTTGAGTTTGGACAAAGACTACTGAAGACAACAATTCCATTTACTGTATATACTTGGAGAAGAGATGGATTCATATCTTTCCCAAGGGTATTTGAACATTATATTCACTTATGCAAAAATAGCCTTGGGAAAGGTATGAATCTATCTTTTCTCCACCCTGCTATGGGTTAAACAGCAGGACAGACTGGATTCTTTAGCTTTGGTTGGCAACTAGTCTACTGTAGAAAGAAATGGTAACCTACTGGGGGAAAAATCTTCTGCCTCATCAATTGTGTATCAAAAGAGGCATGATTGCCCAAATGTGTATCACATGTGGCACTTAACTGTCCTGTCCTGTATATACCTGAGTATAATGCAAGTTTTTAGGATCAATTTTTACATAAAAAAAATAGGTGCACTATACACAGGTAAATTTTCCTGGAGGAGTTAAAATTCATGTAGGCTTACACTTACATCACGTTGAAACACTGATTCCAGTATGATCTCTGAAGTTAAGTAACATTGAGCCTGGTCAGTACCTAGATGGGTGACCTCTGGGAATACCATGTGCTGTAAGCTTGGATGTGCAGGTGGTGTAATGGATAATGGCTTGGAATTGGAAATTTGAGAACCAAGTTCCAGTTTTAGTCAGGTTAGTTATATTCACTTACATGCAAATACTTTTGGGAAAGGTATAAATGCACTTCTTCCCCAGCTATGTGTTAATTAGTAAGACTTGTATCACTAAGACCATTATTATTTTTTTTTTAAATTGTGTACAAAATATTTAGATTTTGACATTAAATAACTCATAGAGTTTGATATGCCACGAAACAAAAACAATCAACCAGCCAATAAAATAAATGCAAACAATTCAGAGGTCAATACATGAAGTCATCTTATACACAAGTATATATGGTACAAAGCAGATCAAAATATATTGATTAAACTCAGCCTAGCACAGCACTATTCAACAAGTTTGGGGCACCCAGTTAAGATCAAACTCATTACAATAGTCATGGTCTTCTTGCTTGTTAACCATTACATCACAGCAATAATTCAAATGATCTAATAACTTTAACTTAATTTGTCAAGAGGCTACTAGTGTGGAGTACCCAATGAAGATCAAACTCACTACAGTAGTAATGATCTATAAGATAAGTTTGCTAACCCTTGCTCTACAGCATGGTATCTTCAGTATTTGCTAATTTCAGATAAGAGTGATACCAAGCCCCAAGTGTAGGATATCCTTAATGTAGTGACATTAAACCTCATTGTATAATTGTCTATGCAACTAGCTTGCTAACCAGTGTGACATAGTGAGCAACTAAAGGGTTCTTATATTTCAGCTTTGTATATTTTTAAGTAGTTTCTATTATGTTTTTTAAAAAATTCATCACTTGCTTGTGAAGGCAGTATGATGGACAAATGTTTAAAAGTATAGAAAATGAAATTAGCAAGCCAAGTGCAAATCCTGACTGAAACAGGTTGTGTTCACTTCATACTAATGCTCTTGGGAAAGGTATGAATCCAATATGAATATGTGGGTTGTGTAATGGATGCCAGCTTGAAATGAGAAATTAGAGAGCCAAAGTACACACAAATACCCTTGGGAAAGGTATGAATCAATCTCGTCTTTTTCTAGCTATAGTTTAAATAGTAGGACAGATTGGGCTCTTTAGCTTTAGTTGGCAACCAGTCTAGCAACAGGAAAACTATTAATTTAAAAATCTAAGGAAGCCTGTTTGGGGACCACATGCACACTATGTGCACCAGTAGTCTATATACAGTAAAATAGTAAGAATTTTATGTGAAAAAAAATAAAATTATTACAATCCAAAAATATGTTTTTGCTTTAAATAACCCACAAAGGTTTGATAAATCATAAAAAGCAAATGAACCAATCAATAAATTTAATACTTCCTCAGCTTTTACCTAAGTAGCAGGGAAGATTAGGTTTTTGAGCCTTGGTCAACAACCAGTCTAAGTGAAAAACAGAAACTATGGAGAATATAATATGAAACTACTTGATTATCTTTCCCCAAGTCTAACATGCCAATGCATGGTTCGTTGATGGTGAAAGCAAAAGCTGTAAAGAACAATGATTGGCTACATCTTGAATGGTGATGGCATTAAGAAAATTCCTTTTGAAAGAAACATTTAAAGCATTGATGCAATAAGTTAGAAATCTCTTGATCTTGGGATTTTCCTGTACTTTTCTATTTGTTTTGTCTTGAGAATTTAATTGGGAATATATGCTGTTTTGGCCATAAAAATAAATATATTTGATATTTTGGTAATAATTCGGTGAAGATTTTGGAAGTATGTGAAGATCTAATTGATTGATTTTTTTTCTTAACCCTTTATAGTTTATTTAAAACAGAAACATATTTCAGATTGTAGGAATCCACTTACGGCACCTAATGTTCCCAAGCTGTTTCCTATTTAAGTATTGACTGTGCTTGACGCTGCTCACTTTAGTAAGTTTAGGAAGAAGAGAACAGCCTTTTGTTTAATTTTTCTTTTTTCCTGTTGGGTGATATATTTATTTATTTTTACAATAAATTGTATATGAATTTGATTACAAATTCATCCTGAAGTGAAGCCATTTCTCCATCTCTCAACCTAAGATTGATTACTGTCAGAAAATTCATGCTATCCATATCCTATAATGGTTGTTACAATTCATCATCAATATTAGCCATTTCAAATCGACTACAGGCCAAAGTCTCAAATTCTTCTATGATGACCATGATTATGCTATTTTGTCCCATATCTTACCAGCAAAGACCTTTCCATCTTCTGTTTGGTCTTTTTCTATCTACTGAACACCAACCAACCTTTTGCTCCATCTATTATACTTTCTTCTTACTATATCTAGCTAACATACATTTTTGTCTTTTAATCTTTTATGAAATTTCTTATTTTGGTCAGTTCTTTGATTCATGTTTACATGATTTTGTCTTTTAGAATCAGCTTTCCACTGATCTTTGTGTTTCTAATGTTATTTTAAAGCAATTTTGTGAAATTTCCAGGTTTTCCACATGTATGACTTAGTTGGCATTATACACTTTATGATTTAAGCATATTGGCAAGATTTTTTTCATTATGTCTCTAATTTTATTAAATGCTGTCCAACTTATTGTTAGACATTGTTTTATTTCATTCTAAGGTCTTTATTAAATGTTCTCTCTTGCTCTAAGTTTATATATTTCAGGACATATTCCAGTTCTTCATTCCCTGGTATTATTATTCATTTTGGAATGTTATAATTGTACATTAAATTTCTTTTATTTTTGTTCCTTGTAAAACCTACATTCAAACTTTTCCTATTCAGATAATTTTTCATTTTTTCTAATTTATCTTCTGATTCTGATAATAGTAAAATTCCATCAGAAAATTACAAATTATTAAAATATTCTCCATTTATGTTTACTCCCATCTTTTCCCAATTCCTTTTCCAGAAGATATTTTCAAGGCATGCTGTAAAGTGAAGTCAGACCTTGTTTCTTTTTTCCAATCTTTCTTTTATCTGCCTATATATGTATTCAAATTCAGGGATGAAAATAAGAAATTCCATTTTTAGTTGAAAATTAAATACCAAAGAATCCTCCTCACCAAAAGCTCTTGGGTCTCAAAAAAGAATACTGGAAACTTTTGCTTGCATCTAATATAACAATAGATGTTTGTTATTGTAATATTTGAATTTAATCTTATATTTTTTAGACATGTGAAAGAAAGAAAAATGTTAAAAAAAAAATCTTACTCAATCATTTCAGAAAAATCTGAAGCATTAAAAATGTTATAGAAAACAATAACAAAGGATGGAAACTAACTGAATAATCATGAAAGATAACTGATACTTAAATACTGTTTTTGAAATATATATTTCAATGATATCTTCCACACATTTAGACAAATTAAAAAATGGCTCAAATATATATATAAAAAAAACTACAGAATTATATCTCAGTTAAATATATTCTCAGTAAATTTAATATAATTTTTTTAAACACCCTACTCTTGTAGTGAGTTAAAGACTGCCTACTGTTCTACTGAGTCAAATAGCTTTTCATAGTTTATGAGAGATATATAAGTAAATATGTAAATACAAATACTACTTCTATCTTATCATAGTTGTTAAGACAGAAATAGTATTACTTCATCTTTAAATTTAAAAAAATTATCAACATTAATCATGGAAGCACAACAGGAAAATCAGATCCTCTCTACATTTGTGAGAATTCCCAAGTGAAAATTAATTATTTAAATTAGGGGATATTTTGTAGATTCATAAATATTTGTGAAGTTCAGATGCTGCAAGAAAAAGGAAGAGAACGTTGTTTTCAAATCAAGACCACCAGTTCCTTATTTAATGTTCAGGTGTAAAATTACCATGATAGGAAGAGGACCACAGAGAAGAAGTTTTGAGGATATGCCTGAATAGAAAGTGACTTACTTTCCCAGAAAGACATGGCAAATTACAATCTAAGGCTTTCTTTTCTTAAGGTACATAAACATGACAAGCATAAAATAAGAGATAAAAGGACACATTCCCTTATTTAAATTATCAGTGAATGAAAAAGTGAAATCAAAGACTTAGTAAGTATATGTGTGTGCAAGAAGCATGTTGGTATATTATGAGAATCTCAGTGATTTTAATTGCATATAATCCATGCTGTCCAAACCAGTGTCACAACACACACTCTAATAGTTAATTACCTGTTCTTTCTTTAACTATTAACTAGATTTTTCAGTAAATTATTTCTTTTACAAGATATACATTTTGAGCTACAGATTTAGCTCATTTAACAGAACTTAATATCCCTTCAAAATATATATATTCTTAAAAAGCATATCATCAATGCAAAAAGTTTGGAAAGCACTGATCTATACATTAATTTTTAAAGAAAAAATACTGGATCATTTTAGGAAATTAATCAGTTTCTTAGACTTAAATTTTGTCTTTCATAAGTTCAAAGTTCAAATCATTAAAGGTGTCTTTTTTTATTTGAGTCATTTTCATTACTTCTTAATTACAAAAACTTTGACAATATATATGTAATAATGTTTAATTTGGATTAGCTCTAGCCCCTTTGAAAATATATTTTAATCCACACACAAACATTCAAGTTTACATCGTTAATAGTTCAATTATTAACAGAGGACTTGTAATAAAATAAATGCAAAAGAGAACAAAGTTTGGATAAATAACCAAACAACAAAAAGAATTTGTTAAATTATTTTTTTTTGAATCAAGATACAGTATCACAGTTTATTTTATGAAATAAACAAATTTTAAATGCAACAAATTTGCTTTCCATTGTTCAGCAGCTTATATTGTATGAAAATACATTTTGACATTCACAATTTCTTTGTACATAAATAACTGAGAAGAAATCCATATTCTTCCTCAAACTGTTTCCACAAATATCTATTTTGAATATTCTTTTATGGATATCGATTCTAAAACCAGTTTTGATAAATTTTAAGGAATTATCTTCCATGCTTGCAACAATTAACTCGGGAAAGCATAAAAGCAGTCATTACAAAAGCAATATTATTTTAAATCTATTC